CACCAGTAGAACTTTACAAGAAAAAAAAACCCAAACCCATCAAAAAATGGGGAGAAGAATAGAAACTTTTTCAAAGAAGAAATAGAAATGGCAAATGACACATGAAATGCTCTACATCAGTAATCATCAGGGATATGCAAATCAAAACAACAATGAGAAATCATTTCACACCGCCTAGACAAGCACACATCAAAAAAGAACAAGAGCAACCAATGCAGGAATGGATGCCGAGAGAATGAGACTCTTCTTCATTGTTGGTGTGAGTGCAAACTGATCCATTCTTTTTGGAAAACAATATGTGCATTCCTCAAAAAGCTAGAAATTGAGCTTCTATAAGACCCAGCAAAAATTACTTCTTTTAATATAGCCTGGGGGCCCAAAATAACACAGCAGAAATGTTCTATTTTATATTCATATAATCATTGCAGCACTATTCACAATAGCCAGAATTTGGAAACAACCCAAGTTCTTGAGAACAGATGACTGGTTAAAGAAACCATGATACCAGTAGAATACTATGCAGCTGTTAGGAAAAATGAAGTTATGAAATTTGCTTATACATGAATGGACACAGAGAATATGCTGAGTGAAATGAGTCAGAAAGAAGTGATAGACATAGAATGATTAGATTCGTTTGTGAGATATATGAAAGCATAATATGAGACCAATACTCAGGACAGTAGAAAAAGTTCCAGGAGGATTGGTCCATGTTTAGAAACCTGTCTCAAATGCTGGCATAGAAGGCAGTTGTCATAGAGAAGGGACCACTATGACAAAGATATGGCAAAGCTGGAAATGATCACTCTGGATAAGAAATGCGTGCCGAAAATAGGTAAAGAAACAAGTATGGTAGCCCCAAAAAGGAAAGAGAGAGACAGGGTGGTGGGAGGGAAACTGGACATTTTTGATGGGAAATGTACACTGGTAGAGGAACGGGTGTTAGAACACAGTATGACTGAAACCCAACCATTATCAACTTTATAACTCTGTATTTCATTGTGACTAAATGAAAAATTAAAATCAAAACAAAAACAAGAAGATCTATATGTGGGTGGGTATTTCCATATATTCATTTCTCCTTCAGTATCTGAACTAGAACTTTGCATATATTAGAAATTCGATTCCTCTGCCCCTCTCGGAGAGCCGGGCAAGCTACCGAGAGTATCTTGCTCTCACGGCAAAGCCTGGCAAGCTCCCCGTGACATATTCGATATGCCAAACACAGTAACAACAAGTCTCACGATGGAGACGTTACTGGGCCTGCTTGAGCAAATCGATGAACAATGGGTGGACCGTGACCATGACTTATTGAACAAATAAGCAAGGAAAATTTCATTACTAAAATGTTAATATTTTGTGTTCTTTATAAGAAATATTTCAACTTGATATTTATAATGGTTTAATTAAAATAAGAATGGAGCGATAGCACAGCGGTAGGGCATTTGCCTTGCACGCAGCCAACATGGCCGACCCAGGTTCGATTCCTCCGCCCCTCTCAGAGAGCCCAGCAAGCTACCGAGAGTATCTCGCCCGCACGGCAGAGTCTGGCAAGCTCCCTGTGATGTATTCGATATGCCAAACACAGTAACAACAAAGTCTCCAATGGAGACGTTACTGGGCCCGCTCCAGCAAATCGATGATCAATGGGAGGGCCTTTCCTTTACTTACTTTAAGAATAGATAAACTATTATTTACTTAGATAATAAAATTATTTTCTAAAGTACACATCTCAGGTAATGATACAGGGTAATGCACACTTATTCCCCTGCCAATTTAGTTCTTAAATATTTTCCCAAAGTGCCCCAAAGATTGTTGCTAGGGTTGTTGTCAAGAGGGTGAGCTTGGAGTTCCTGATCTTTTTGATATTCTTATCAAGACCTCTGTTGTATTTACTCCCAGGACACCCTTCCTGACTCTGGACCTGGGATTTTATATTTTCAAGAGTTCTCTGTCTCATCAAGTGAGCCTTTTGTCTCAAAGGACTACATGTCTTTGGGCTTGTTTAGGTTTCCAACTGTTTTGCTCATGTTACTCTCATGACTCAGTTTCCCAAAGAGCCGGCTTTGATGCAAATACATGAGGGTCTTTATTGCAAGCTCAAGCTTGGTCTCCTGGGCAACACATATGCAGTGGGTTGAGGCTGAGAGCCTTGGGCTCTTAAGGAGCAAGTTTTATGTAGGATTTACAATGGGAAGTGGGGAATTTAAGCAGCATTATAACAGAATTGGTTGATCTTTACAATTTTAAGAATGTGGTGCTACATGATAGGCTACATTCAACCTTAGCCATTTACTAGCTCCTGCATGTAATCTAGGAGGACTATCTGTGCTGGGAGCTCCTGGCAGGGTGCTTCAGATTAACTGTGGCCTGGAAGGTTCAGGTTTTAGGCACCCTGTGGAGTTTCTAGATAGGGGTCCTTTTTTCTCAGAATGGGCTATTAAAGTTTCAGTAAATGGAAACTCTGTTCTAAGCTGCCTTCCACTAGTGAAGCTTGTCATGGCGTAGCTTTGGTACCTCAGCTCTCTATCTACCTGCACCATGATAAATTGCACATTACTTTATTGGACTTTTAGTAACTCATTTACAATACTGTTCATGTGTAACACTGTAGTTGGGAGAGACTTGACTCCCCACCAGTGAAACAGTAGTATTCCCATGTGGCTTATGGGAAGTGGGACTGAGGAAGCAGCATCCTCCAGAAGGAAAGGTACCTGGGAAAGTGCCTAGGAAAATCTAAGACAAGGAGAATCTACAAGAGCCCCTGCACTTTACTGAACTCTGTCTTCATCAGCCCCTTGAGGCAGCCACCAAATCGTTTCTAGATCCTACTTATTCTGCCCAGAACAGGAAATGATCCCTGACACCCAGTTTCTCAGGAAGACTTGGACTTCTGGCTAAGATGTGGAATTGTTCTTTGCATGAAAGGAAAATCAGGCCTAAGTATTACCTAGGGGTTTCATATCCTGGCCTTCCCTACATAAAAGCACTTCAGGAGGAGATAAATAGTGAAATAAAACAAATTTATTCTCGAAATAAATAGAGAGAGAGAGAGAAAGATGCTCAGGAGAAAATGCTGGCTTCTCTAGCGTAGAAAAGTGCAAGTCCATATCCCAAGCAGGACTGTGCACGCTGGTTTTCCAGAATGGGTGCCCCAAAGTAAAAAAGTTCATGTCTCAGATTCTGGCTGAAGAGACAAGAGAGTCAAACTTGACTTAGAGTTTTCTGAACTACCCCTCTCAATCCATTACTGGGTTGAATGCCAAGCTTGAAGCAGCTGATGCTCTTTTGATATTCTTTGCATGGCTCTTTTACCTGGCCTGTAATTCTGCATCTCAGTGGTTTTTTGCGCTGCAGAAATGGGTCTTTTGATTTGAAGGCCTTCATGCCTTTGGCCTGATTTTAGGCTCCAGACAATATTTATTCCCAAGATAACGTTACCCCTGCCCATCTCCCCCATATTTCTGCCTGCAACAACACATTCCAGCACCCCACAACCTGTACCAGATTGTTCATTTCCCTCTATCATTGTCCCAGTATTCCCTTTGTTCTCCCCACCCTCCAGCCATTCCTTTTCCCATACACACCTCCACTGTAAACTGCAAGCTTTCTCCTGAAGATAGTATTCCTCGGGCATTCTTTGGCTGTGACTTTTAAGAATAATGTCTTGAATTGCTTAATCAAATCAACCATGGTCCTCCCGTTGTTCATCGATTTGCTCGAGCAGGCCCAGTAATGTCTCCATCATGAGACTTGTTACTGTATTTGGCATATCAGATACGTCATGGGTAGCTTGCCAGGCTCTGCCGTGCGGGCGAGATACTCTCGGTAGCTTGCCGGGCTCTCCGAGAGGGGCAGAGGAATTGAACTCAGGTCGGCCATGTTGGCCGCTTGTAAGGCAAATGCCCTACCACTGTGCTATTGCTCCAGCCCTAATTGCTTAATGATTGCTTAATAATTTATAGATTTTTTTCCTAGTAATTCAACATTTATTGTATTACATATAATCAGTGATATGCATAATTCATAATAATTATTTGTTTTACAAATGAAGAAACTGGACTTGAGAAAGATTAATGTATTACCCTATAATTACATAGTTTTGAGAGGAAAGATATGTACTTTGTTTTTAATTCCTCTAAATCTGACTTTCTCCCCAAAGCACAATGTAGCTTTCTTTCAGTGTGATACTTCGTGAAACATGTCAAAATACAAAGAGATCTTATATAGATTTCTAACTTCTCATAACATACCTCTGTTATCCATATGACTCTATTCTGTTTTACCTTTGCAATGCTTAAATTTACATCCAAACTTTGTCCTATGTAGTGGCAAGAAATTCCTAGTTGTTAATGTGATTTTATTGGGTTAGCCTTTGTTGTGGAACACTGTTTCATCTTTCCATATGAACTTTATAAGCTTACTGAGGGCATAATTTATCATAACATATGTATGCATTACCTGAGTGATAGTATAGTATTGAAGGCACTTGCCCTGCATATAATTCCCCCCAGGTATGACCCTGGTAACACATATGATCTGATGAGCACTATCAGGAGTGATCCCTGAGTACTGTTGAGCGTGCTGCCCCTCCCCACCAAATGTAGAAAAATAATAGAAATAAGTAAAAATAAAACACATATCTCATTAAAATATGTACATGCAATCATATATGATTGTACGTGTTGTGTGTGTGACATATATAAATAACCAGTTCCAGGCAAAGACCTGATATGTATATGTCAGTGTTAGCACCTTATTATCTGGATAGTCATACATTTGAACTCTGGTTAGTGATAGTCTGACACATAGGTGGTTATTCTGGCACCTGCTGTCCTCATATGAAATTATTAGTTATGCTCCAATTCATTTTAGTGATTTTGGTGGTAAATTCTGATTATTTTACTGTTTAGAAAATACTCTGTAGTTTGAAAAGTATCTCATGAGAGTATCCAGTCTCATTTCATTGAAGCAACTAATGATGAGTCTTATTCCTTTATTAGAAAACAGCACGGTACAAGTAACAAACACAGGAAGCCTTATATTCCAGAACTTTGAGGAGAGTATGACTGGAATTTACACATGTTTCCTTGAGTATAAACCCACTGTGGAAGAAGTTGTTAAAAATTTTCAACTAAAATATGTTGTATATGGTAAGAAGAATACTTGTTGCATCTTAACATTTCTTAAGGTTTTCAAATGTTACATTTTTAAGAAGTTTGTTATAAAGACACTGGAGGGGAACTGTTAAAGAATCAAACTAGGAAGGCCCTAGGTGAAAGATCTTTGGTACTGTGGTGGTGGTGCAGTCAGTGTATATGTCAAAGCTTAAGCGTGATCCCTAATATAAACCATGTTGCTTCAATAAATAAAAAATAAAGTATGTATAAGAATAGTGGAAGTTTGTTAATTTAGTCTACTTAAAGAAAAGTTACTGTCCTCCTGTATATTTTTCTAAGTACTTTGTAAGAGGTTAAGGAAAAAGATAACTTATCTTCGGGGGAATGTTGACATATACACAGATATACACAGATAATTTAAGTCAATGAGTGAAGGAATGGAATATAGAAATATTTTAGCATGTTGTGATGTCACCGTAGTTCATACTACTATAAATTCTAAGTAGCATGATTTATAATATACTCCCAGACATCCAGAAAGAAATATAATTTTGTGCAGCTATAAAATCCTTTCTAAAATGATTTCTTCTTTTGAGATTAGGAGAGGTGAGTTAATAGGGAATAATTGAGAGCACTTGTGTTTAAATACCATTTCATTTGGAGGACCATTGTGTTATTATATATAAAATAAATCCCCATCAAAATTCCAATATCTGTGATTATCTACCATACAATGTCATAAGTTACAAATATAACTTAGAATCTTAAAATAGAGAATATTCTAAATCATCCCTGTAGACTCCTTTTAGGAAGGCAAAAAACAGAAGAAGGATCTATAATGATGAAAGAATAGATCTGGATGACTTTCTTTAAAGACAAGAGAGAGGAGGGGCTGAGAGATAGTACATTTAGTAAGGTACTGGCTTTTATCACATTAACCAGATTAAAACCCTGGTGGCATCCCAACTAATCCCTGAGATCAGAGCCAGTAAACAGCCCTGAGCTCAATGTGATGTGACCCCAAAACAAAGAAAAATTAATAAAGACAGAGATAGGAGAAAAAGCCAAGGTATGCTGCCATTAAGAGCTAGAAATGGCCCCAAACTTTATTTCCTTGTATGCCTTCCTAAAGAAATCTGGCTTGATTCTAGTCTTGGAAGATTAATTTTGGGCCTTTTATATAAAAACTCTAATAAATTTTTGTTATTTTAAATCTTTAAATTTGTGATTATTTGTTATGGTAGTAATAGAAAACAAATACTTTTTTTGTATCTGAGTTGCAAATCTAATGATAGAATTATTAGTAGTTTCCTCATAATTTTGATCACTTAGAAAAGAAAATGAAGACAAATTTTATGAGAAATTGAATTAATTTTACTAAAGAAGTAATTTGTTAAAATTTTGTTATGCCACATGTCATTATTTTAGTTATCTTGTTTGTAAAAATATGTATTTTAAAATTTCTTCTAAAGGTATATTTATGGAAGACAATAAATACTGATTTTTAAAAAAATTTTATATGAATTTTTTTACTTTTACTGCTGATATTTTATGGTTTTCAATCTGGGTTTTTTCTTTTATAGTGTGTGTCACTCTTTCTTCTTTCCATGTCTCATAATTTTTTTTTCAAAAATTGGTCTTGTAAAAAAATATATAGATAAATCATTCAGCCCTACCCTAACTCTTTAAGACCTGTTAACATTTTTGTTTAACAAATATCTAGATTATTTAAGATAAATTTGCTTTTCATTTCATCACACCATTACAGGTGTTGAATATCTGATTTGACAACTTGCTGTATGCTTATAAGTTTTATATTTTTTGCTTAATTTTAGTGAGATTTTGAAATGATAGAAAATGCTTACAAGTCTGAATATAGTAGAGGAATTCAAGAAAATTTATTTGTTATAATATAATTTTATCTATTGTTAAAAATTATATGACTTATTTAGCGGTTTATTCAACTTTTAACATTATTAAAACTTCAAAGAGTTTGACCATATTGGCTTAAGACACACTCTTGGGTTAGAAACTTAGATTGAAATTTTAGGGCCAGAATCCCTCTCTAATCTTAGTTTTGATAACTTGGCATGCGACATAACAAAATTGTATCCCTTAATTTTCTCATGATACAAAAAATATTGTCGGAAAATAAAATTAATAATTATTTCAATGATAAGGTAAAGGCCCTCCCGTTGATCGTCGATTTGCTCGAGCGGGCCTAGTAACGTCTCCATTGGAGACTTTGTTGTTACTGTGTTTGGCATATCGAATGATAGGTGAAATTATTATAAGTACTTTACATGCAATTTTCCATTCAGTAACTGCTAGATAAGTAATTGTTAGATAATAGGTACGTAAAATCATACTAGCAATATGAACAATTTCTCTTGAATAGTCTAAATATATTTAAGTTGCTAAAATAATCATTTCTATTATTCTCTGTTTTTAACAGCCTATCGTGAACCTCGTTACTATTACCAGTTCACAGCTCGATATCATGCAGCTCCCTGTAATAGTATTTATAATATTTCTTTTGAGAAGAAACTTCTCCAGATTTTAAGCAAATTGGTCCTTGATCTGTCATGTGAAGTTTCCCTACTTAAGTCTGAATGCCATCGTGTTAAAATGCAAAGGGCTGGTTTGCAAAATGAATTGTTTTTTACATTTTCAGGTAAGAATAAGTAGTTTTTTAAAGAAAAAAATTAAGAACAAAAAGCATTTTTTATGGACATATAAACTACCAGAAGTATTTTAGAATGTAAATATTGCAAATCTCCTTCATATTCTTTATTTTCATTAAGTTCATAAATCCCCCAAATTAAATCTGAGTGATAGATGTATTGAAGTTGTTTCTCTTCTCTCTCTCTCTCTCTCTCTCTCTCTCTCTCTCTCTCTCTCAATTTATTTATTGAATCGCCGTGAGAATAGTTACAAAGCTTTCGTGTTCGAGTCTTGGTCGTACAATGATCAAACACCCATCCCTTCACCAGTGCACATTTTCCACCACCAAAACCCCCAGTATACCCCCCATCACACCCCTACCCCTGCTTCTGTGGCAGATAATTACCACATTGCTCTCTCTACTTTGATCACATTCAATATTTCGACACCAGTCCTATCATTATTTTTTGGATTCTTCCCCCAACACTCAGACCTACCAAAAAGGCAACATTAGACAAATTGTTTTCTATGGCTGGTTATGAATAGCATATGATGTCGCACAGCTGCAAGAGCAGCCATGTGATCTTGGAATTCTAAAATTTTAATGATTGGGTCTAGAGATATTTCTACCAAGAGCCACTCAGTTTTGATATTTGTTTGTGTTTCTCTGGGATCATGAACTTTACAGAGCTTAATAAGTAGCCAGGAGGACTATTTGTGGGCGGCATCAGAGGTCCCATGGGGCAGGGGAGGAGAAGGACTGGCTCCTCTCCCATCCCGTGAGGTCTGGCATGTATCATCACTGCTGGCCCATACCTAGATTTTCCAATGAGCTTTGGAAGATAGCGGCCGCCGAGATCCCCAGGAAACAGGCAGAGGGCCAGCACCTGCTCCCATCTGGGGTGACCTGGTGAAGGAGGTCTAATGCAAAGTCTGGAGGCATTTCTGTCGAGAGCCGCTCAGTTCCAAGATTCATTTGTGTGCCTCTGAGATCATGAATTAGAAGCTTAATAAGTAGCTGGTAGGCCGTTTATGGGTAGCATCTCAGGGTCCGTTCAGGCCGGGGAAGAGAAGGACCGGCTCTCTTTATTCTCTTGAACAACTTAAAGTTTATCATTTATGAAGAATGGAATATAATATCAGTTATATTTAGCATACTAATAATTTTAATTTGTAAAATCATCAATTTGTAGTAAGATATTAGAGAAAAGAGCAGACATTTTTATTTTTAGTTATTTATAAACAATTCTTTTAAAGAACCTCTTTCTTTTATTCTGCTTTTTGAGTCACACTCGGCGATGCACAGGGATTACTCCTGGCTCTGCTCTCAGGAATCTCTCCTGGTGGTGCTTGGGCGACCATATGGGATGCTGGGGATCAAACCTGGGTCGGCCACATGCAAGACAAACACCCTTCCCATTGTACTATTGCTCAAGCCCTGAGCAGACATTTTAAAATAGAATTACCAAGATACACAGTCAGAGGGTTGTTCATGATTGGGTTTAGTCATACATTTTTCTAACACCAATCCCTTCACCAGTAATTTCCCCGCCATGTCCCGGTGTCCCCATCTCTTGTACTGTAGTTTGCAGTACTTTTACTGAAAGGTTATCCTGTGTATCACTTTACCTCCTTTGAGTCACTCAGTTCTTGCCCAGGGTGATCATTTACAAATATTGTCAGGATGGTTCCTTCAAAAGAGAGAACATTATAACAATTTAACTTTTATTTTCTTTTTTTTTGAAGTAAAGCAGATTTTATTTGGAGGCCTTTTGAAGGTGTGTGTGTGTGCGTGTGTGTGTGTGTGTGTGTCTGTGTGTGTGTGTGTGTAGCGGGGAAGGGAGAAGAGAGGAGAGAGGAGAAAGATGCTCAAGACAGAACATGGCCCTTTCCAAGGGTGGAGAGAGCCCTTACACACATCCCAGCATTAGACATGAAACTACACATCTCAAGAGGGGAGATGCAGGTGACACATGTGCTTGGCCACAAGAGCACTAGTAGCACATATGCTCAGGCAGCATATACGCCAATTTAACATTTCTTAATAATTTCGCATGAGGTCATTTGTTTTCTTGAAAACAAAGAATTGGACTTATGTTTAAGGAATTTAGATTTGTAAAGTGCCTTGTTTCTTTAGTTTTGGGGCACACCCAGTAGATTTCAAGGCTTGGTTATATTAAGGGATTACATCTAGAGTGGAGGGGTCGGGAGGAACAGGGAGCACTGGAGCGATAGCACAGTGGTAGGGTGTTTGCCTTGCGCTCAGCCGGCCTGGCCAAGCCAGTTTCGATCCCTCCATCCCTCTCGGAGAAGCCCGAGCCACTGAGAGTATCTCACCCGCACGGCAAAGCCTGGCAAGCTACCGGTGATGTATTCACTATGCCAAACACAGTAACAACAGGTCTCATGATGGAGACATTACTGGGCCCGCTTGAGAAAATCGATGGACAATGGGAGGACATCTAGACTGGCTCAGGGGACCATAGGTGGTACTGGAGATTGAACTCCAGTCGTGTACTTGCAAGGCAAGTGTCCTACCCTCTATGTTACTGTTCCAGTATACCATAAAGTGCATTTATGAATGATCATTTAGAAATAACCATCATGTTTTTAGGTCACAGTAGCATAGGTTTCATTCTTGTTTTTAACTGAAATGTCCTTTTATTGCCCCTCCTCCTTCCCTCCCTCTCTCCCTCCTTCCCTTCCTCTTTCCCTTCTATTTCCTTCCTTTTCTTCATCTTTCCTCCCTCTTTCCATCCCTCTTTTCCTCCCTCCCTCCCCCTTCCTTCCTTCCTTCCTTCCTTCCTTCCTTCCTTCCTTCCTTCCTTCCTTTCTTCCTTCCTTCCTTCCTTCCTTCGTTTCTTCCTTCCTCCCTTCCTCCTTTCCTCCTTCCCTTCTATTCCCTTCCTTTTCTTCATTTTTCCTTCTTTTTTCCCTCCTTCCCTCTTCCTTCCTTTCTTCCTTCCTTCCTTGCAACAATGAATGCACACACACAAAGCATGTTCAGTTGTTTCATTAGAAAAATGCGAGCAAGATCACTATGCTTCATTCCCTTGAAAAATCATTATTGCTTCCTGCAAAGTTGGTTTCAGAGCTATGGCCAAAGCTGTTGTTTTGCCATGAAACTCTGTATATTGTCTTTATATCTAAATGGTAGGTTAACTGCTAGAGTATTCTTGATGAGGTACCAATTAAATTGTATTTTTTAACTATCTCACCAATTTCTTTTGGCCCTCATGATCTCACTTCAGGAAACTCTTTTGTAAATAATTTTTGTGTTTAATCTCACAGCTTTCAATATTCTATATCTTTGGATTTTATCATTTCTATTATGACATGTCTTGTAATGTTTTTACTTGGGTCTCTCTTGGCTGTGATCTTTCAGACATCTTGAATCTGGTTGAATGTGTTCATCAACTTTGGGAAACCTCTACTATTTTTTCTTTGACATTTCCTCTTCTTTCCTCAGGAATTCCCATGATTGTTTAAAAAGAATTATTCATTTTTTTATAATGGAATAACCTTGAGACACAACATTATAAATCTGTTCATAAATGAGTTTCCTTCATGTAGTGTTCCAGAACCATGTTTTCACCAGTGTCCCTTGCTTTCCACCAGTATCCCCAGTGTCCATCCCTCTGCCAGCCCTGCCAGCCTGTCTAGGGCAGAAATTTCTCTTTCTGTCTTTTATTTTTTCCTTTCAGGCATTTAGTTTTGCAGTACTGTTACTGAAAGTGTATCATGTTGTTACTCTTTAATTTATTCCATAGTTCTTTTGTTTACTATTTATTTTGAAGCCATTTTGTTGTTGGTTTTTATTTTTTGGTCTTCTGCTATTTTCTTTTCTTTTTTATGCAAATGCACTATATTTTTCCACCAATTATTTACCAGCTTGTGTTTTCAGAACTTTTATAAAGCATCTTTGGGAACTTCAATATTGCCAATTTCCCTCATTTTTTTCTTTCCTTCTGCATGCCTCTTCAGAGGTTTCATTTTTTGAGTAATATTGCCACCATACCATTTTGTCAAAACATTTTTTCTGTAAGCTTTCACATTTTCTCTTGCAATGATTTTACTTCCAATAGCAGCTTGAATTGCTGTTTCAAAGAGCTGCCTAGGAACACAATCCTTCAGACATTCACAAATAGCTTTACCAACAGAGTATGCTTTATCTTTGTGTACAACAGTTGCTAGCTTGTCTACAATATTTCCATGCAACAGAATGTCCATTTTTACAAGATCAGCAGTCTGATAGCCTGCATCTTTATAATCAAAACTAGCATATCCAGACGACAAGGATTTCAAAGAATCATAAAAATCCACTACAGTTTCATTCAAAGGGAAGAGATACTTAAGCATAACTCTATTTTGATCAATAAATAACATATTCTTCTGAACTGTTCTTTGAGACTGGCAAAGCTTCATTATTTTTCCAGCATATTCATCTGGTGTGATAATGGTTCCTAGAACAACAGGCTCCAAATATTCCATTACTTTTGATTTATCAGGGAACTGAGCAGGATTGATTATAATTTCTTTTTTCCTATATTCCTTTATCAATTTTGCTGATGAAAGAATAGCTTTATATAGAACATTAGGGTTTGTGAAAATAACAGAAGCATTATATTCTTGTTCTAGTCACTGATTAAAAACTTCCATATGCAAAAGTCCAAGAAATCCCAACCTCCAGCCAGCCCCAAGGGCAAGGCTACTGTTGATGAACTGTCACACTGGAATCATTTAAAGTCAGTTTTTCTACTGTACTCTTAAGGTTGTTTTATTCGGACTCATCTGTGGGGTACATTCAGCTTATGAGTTGGATGCTCATTAGGATTTAGAATTCCTACTTCATTAACTTCATATGTTTTTTGAGTATGTGCAGATACAATCTTACCTCCTTTGAAAACCATTTCATCAAATAATGCAACATAGGTTATTACTCCCCTATACTGATCAAAAATGGAATCAAATACCAAAGCTCTTAGAGGATTTTTGCAATGTACTTTAGGC